TCCCAGATACACCCCATGATGGCTGTGTCGTCTGCAAACTTCTGAATATGGCATAATTCAGAGTTGTAGCAGAAGTCAGAGGTGTACAGGGTGAAGAGAAGAGGGGACAGCACAGTTCCCTGTGGTGCTCCTGTGCTGCTGACCACTGTGTCAGACGTGATGTCCTTCAGCCTGACGTACTGTGGTCTGTCGGTGAGGTAGTCGGAGATCCAAGCCACCAGGCAGGGGTCCACCTCCATCCTGTTCAGTTTTTCCTGAAGCATACAGGGCCGGATGGTATTAAAGGCACTGGAAAAGTCAAGAAACAGGATCCTGACCGCGCCTTTTCCCCCATCCAGGTGTGAGTGGGCTCTGTGTAGGAGGTACAGGATGGCATCCTCCACTCCGACACCCGCCTTGTATGCAAACTGTAGTGGGTCCTGGGCATGTTGTTATATACATTTGGCAGCTCTGCCAGGGCAGAAAGAGACAGCAGGAGGTAATCACAGTAACGGAGCTTTGCCTTCTAACTGAGAGACCAATATAGTTTATTCTCTGCAAGTCAGTGTAAGAAACCCCCGCCTTTCAGGTAAAGCTAACAAATCCTCATCACACTGTATTTGAGTTCAGGTATGTATACTTTAATGACATTTTTAATCTGTGAAATTATTCACTTTACAGGTGTGTACACCAAAACCATTAAACCTACAGAAACTTGCAGTTATTCTTTTTCCTCTCAGAGAAACAGTTTAGATTTGCAGTCAGTACAGTCTGTACTCTGATTTTGTTTGAAATACAGAGTTAATGTCAAACCAAGAGGCCAGTGAGGCATTTTAAACCAAACTGTCAGCTATATGATTCCAGTGATAGTGGTGTAACTGTGGTTGTAAAACTCTATTTGTATGGATTTTATTTATTAAGAAATTAGCAATCAGATTTTTTTTCTCCTGATACCCGCTCCCTTGTTATTCCACGACAAAATAAGCAGATAAATGATCTGGAGTTTTTCATTATTTCATGACATTTTATAAGAGTTGAACTTCCATTTCAGAGAATACTCAAAATGCAGTCCGAAGAGTTAATGATCTAAGTGAGAGAGAGAGATAGCAGAGTGTTTATGGACTTAACAAATTAACAATTTAATGCATCCTTTAAATACTGTACACTTATGTAAAACACAGTGACAAGATGAGCAACACTAAAAGGACTGGGAAATCCTGGAGGGTGACTAAAGTGGATACTCACAGAAATCTTTTCTTGGTGAAGAAAAACCTTACAAAAAACGTACAAGTCAAGAAGTCACTAGAGGGGATAGACATATTGATGTGACAGCCGAATTGTTTTCCCTCTGTACTGTGAAGTACAGATGGCTGACTCAGTCACCCAAACTAAACCCAGCTAAGCAGGTTTGTCACCCTATGAAGACAAGACTGAAGGCTAAGTATCCACAGCGAGCAGCAGTAAATGATGTCAGAGCATCTATAGTAAGGAACCGAAGTTTGGTGATCCTTGATGGCTACAAGCTTCAGGTAACCACTGATTAAAAAGCATTAAAAGTATTAAAAATAATCTTACAAGGTTTAAAATTATTTTATCTTGTACAGTTTGGAGCCTGTAGGGAGGCTTTGTAAGAAATATTTATGGGCCTGACTATGTGCAGCGCTTCAGCTGCTGAACTGCACAGTTTAATTGCAATTCTCTGTGAGGTTGTGTGTCACAAGAAAGACCCCGTTCTTATCAAATATTCCACATGATCAGTTTTTAATATTAACCGAGGATCACTCGCTGTGGCTTTAACAGCTTCACGTGTGGTATTTTAAAGACAATCTGAGAAAATATCTGTAGATCATGTTGCTAAGTTACAAGTTCTCAATATAGAATTAGAACAATGTTTTAACGTCTTTTAAGTTGCTAAAATAATATACCAGTGACAAGCTAAGTGCTCTGACGTCCGCTGATCAAACAGTGCACTTTCACTGTTACTGCAGACGGGTACAAATGGCCTCTCTGCCGGTTTACTTAATGACTTTTCTCACCTTTTAATTGCAGCTCATTTAAAAGTAGAAAGAGTAAAAGCACAGACTCTGACTGAAGAGCCCTGCATGGTGAGAGGTTAGAATGTTAACGCTTACTAACAATAATTCTGCCTGTCCAGGCATTTATTCTCAAAATTGCCCACTCCCACTTAATACCACGTTGTCACAGTCTGGCTGAGGCAGACTGTATGTGTTTGCAAGAGAGGACTCAAACGCAGACCAAAAACTGAACGTGACGTGGATTTAACAAAAAACAAGCCGTTTAAGCATCTCAAACACACAACATGTATCGTGCCTGTTTATCTGCACACTGCACTGTACAAGAGAGTTTGCTGTACAGAAAGCTATTTTAAAGGAACAGTTTCTTACAAAATGAAACAATTGTCTTTACACTGCAGTCCTTGTCACTGTTAGATGTAACGCTGGCTCTGGAAAGGCTGCAGACAGCTCTGTCACCTTTGTGACATGTGGTGTCACCAGCTGCTAACTTTTCATCTGTCAGCGATGAACCTCAGTGGGAGGGTGTGACATTCGTGATGTTCACTCTGTCACTCAGTTCACCTCCACACTGCGCAGGTGACCAGCCTGGGGCCACCACTATTGAAAATCAAATCCCAGTTTTGTAGAATGAAACTTGTTTTTATAATGCTTAAAAAAAATAAAATGAGCATTTCATTTCCAGTTTAAGTATCCAGACCACCCTGTCACTTGGACCCCATCAGCCAACTGTAGATTAAAAAAACAAGAAAAAAATCCCCAAACTTCAAAATTCACATCCCTCCTTCTTACTTAACTGTGCATCCAGTTTAGGGTCATGCAGTGTTGAAGGCTCTTCCCAGATGTCACAGGGTGAAAGGCAGGGTATACCCTGGACAGATCACCAGCCTCTCACAGGGCTAACATGAAGAGACACACACTCGCATTCACACCGACCAGTCTAGCCTCCACACTGAAAGGCACCACCTGGCCGACAGGTTCCAACCAGGAGTCTTCTCTGTTAGGTGACGGATTGTAACATGTCACATTAGGAGTGAGATCATCTCAGTACTCCTCGGACACACAAATGACAGGATGAATACTAAAGGGCACGCGCGCGCACACACACACACACACACACTGAACAGCTTTGGAAAATTAGAGCAATCCTCAGCCATTATGTTGTGACAGGGACATCAGCGCCTAATGAACTTAATGACTGATGAAAAATCACACAAGCAGCTCATAATTGCATAATTGGTAATGTAATGGCAGAAGCCCGCAGGCCACTTGAATATTTTCAACATGCTAATGGAAGTATGTTGAGCACAAAGTAAACAAAAACAACAACTTCTCTGATCTTATCAATTAAACGGCCTCCTTCGCTGTCACCTCATGATTCGCTGATTGAACAATCACGTTTCTCAGTTGGGTATAAGAAGAGCTGCTTGCAGTCGTAGCTGTGTGTGCAGTTTGGACCTGAGCAGCATCCTGCTGGCACAGCTGGCTGTGGTCCGTATCATCAAAGTCATGTTTAAAATATGTTGAATGACAGAGCTGCCACAGTGAAGAGGCATTTTTAGTAATAACATCACCGTCATGCATTTAGGATGTCAAACTGTTTCACAGTTTAAGGTTTGTATAATAAAACAGAGATGCCCTGATTTATGCTGGGACACCAATGGTTGGTTTTCATTGTTATACGAGACTGCCACCTGGTGGTGAAGGAGCTTCAGCTTCAGTTAAATATTACAGCTGGAAAGAGGTAATCTATCTTCACTGTGGTTTTACATAAATGGGCTTCATGTTGCACCAATCTCCATAAAGTGAGGCGTCATACTAAGAATAGTTGTCTTGCTCTGATTTGTCCATGTTGTGGCTGCTTTGATCATTGCCAGAGCCCAGGTACAGTTCTACAGGATGATGCACTATGTTGTGTCTTGGTGAAACTGTGCTGTTTGTGAGCACTGTGTCTCTATTCTCTTACCCAGATCCAGTCTCTGGCACAGTGAGCCCAGCCCCTGCAATACAGCCAGCTGCAGTTTGTAGGCCAGGGTGTGTGTGTAGACAGGCCCAGCCTTGGCGCTGATTGGAGCCTGCCGTGCCAGAGAGGCGCTCAGCTTGGGCAGAACCTCTTTAGAAACCCTCCTCCTCAGAAAGTCCCCACATGTTTCACCCAGCACACACAGCACCTGGCATGTAATGCACAAAAATGTAATGTACAAAAGCAGCAAGCTGTCAAAATTCAATAAAACCTTCCCATTGTATACTCCTGGATGAATTGTAGTATTTACAAAACTCGTATATATCCAAAAGCTGATGAAACAATTTCCCAGCAGCAGCTCTGAGTGAATAAATGACTGTTTACAGACTTAACGTGTCTGTATTTGTCAGTTCATCAATGAAAATATGAATAACGAATTTAAAAATATTCCAGCTGATGACAGGAGCTGACGAGTAGCCTAATTTACACCGACAAGTTGAATCAGCTGACACTTGCACCAAAGATCACAAAAAACTATCAGCTTCATTTATCACAAAGTCCTACTTTGTGATTCTCTGAGACAGTTTGAAAAGCAGCCTCTAAGAAGGCATCCACACAGTGATCTTTCTGTGCTGATAGAAGAAATGTTAGTTTAAAGAGTCTTCACATTACAACCCAAAAAAGAAAATAATAGAACTATTTCTGAATGAAATAAGCCTGTTGTTGGGCAGCATCTTTCATTCTTTCACTACTAAGAGTTTAAAACTAAAGACGACTTGAATAATTTTGACTCACTTAATGAAAAGAGAGGTTTGTTTTATTTACCCTGAAGGCTCTGAGGACTGCTAATGGGTCATCAGCTGTGAGTCTCTGCAGGAGTGCTGGCCAGCAATGAAATGCTGGTTACACCAGTTTAGCAGTGAGGTTCAGATTTCTATGAATTTTAATTACAATGATCCATCTCCTCTACACTCTGAATCTAATATCACCACCACTACAACCTATAGCTTATATTCCACTGGCCCTTAGACAGACCTATTACCTTGGTCTTCAGTGTCATCATCCTCTATTCCAATGCCCTCTGCCAGTTCTTTCTGTTTGCAGTAATTCAGCAGGAATTGGCGAATGCTGAGGTCTTCCTGGTCACTGGAACGTTGCCTGTAGCTGGTAGACTTACTGGTCCTGCTACAAGTGGAAGGAAACCACCTCGCTAAAGGAAAAACAAGACAACAATATGAGCATAGGTTTGGTTACAATAAAATAAGTCAGCTGATCAAATCAGTGTGACACAGACACTGATGTTTTTTGGAAAGAGCCATTAGTGACATTTAATTTACACATTTTTACTGTGAGGGCTTGTAAAACTGCAAACACCTATAGTGCCGCTGTATAAGTATTATTATGAATATTAATTCTACAGCAGAAAACAACTCAGCATTTAAACCATCACGATGTATTAAATGTTTCCAAAGATACTGATAATTTGATAACGAGCAAATTATACATCCTGAAATGTACCCCTTGGTAGAAACTTTGAAAGGCACTGCAGAAAACATAAAGTTAAGCAACATTAAAAAAATTTGGCAGAGCATGCCACGAGTTACATTTTCTTCCTTGTCCTCTTTGACTCCCAGCATATGTGAGACTCAAGCTGACATCACTGTTGAAATCTTACCCAGTGCCTTCATGAGCGCGTGCAGCACGGAGCAGAAAAGAGCAGCTGTGCGCTCGTAGCTGAGATCCAGAGCCGTCAGCACATCCTGAACGATGTCCCCGACCAGCGGCAGCAGGCTGCAGTCAGAGTGAGTCAACATAACTGTCAACACCCGTGGAGCCTGGCCAACAAGACAGGATTATAATGAAATACAGTACAAGCTCAGGGCAGCACAAAGCAGACAAAGGAGGAAATCAGGTAAACCCTCCAGCAGTCATTTCTGTGTCCATTTTGGGTTAAAAACACAACTACCTGTGGATGCTGGCTGATTCTCTGAAGGTTGAGTGAAATGTCATTAAGCAGGTAGTCAGAGTTCTCATTGATCAGTTCCTTGAGGGAAGCGTATCCACAGGCCTTACTGATGTCCCACATGGAGCTCAGTCCCGCCTGGCTGACCAGCAGCGTCTCCTCACCAGCTTTCTCCAGCACAGGATACAGCGAGGTCATCAACAAGGGACGGAAATCGTGGCCCAGCGCCTGAGCACAGCAGGTGATGCCCTCGAGTTGGATGCACAGCTGCCAGATGTTGCTGTTGAGCTGGTGGATCGTGGATGTTGATGATGAAGGAATCACTTAGAGAGAGCTTGTATTTGAGTTGCCGGCATCACTGTTGGATATGGAGAGGAGTCTGGATGGACTGAGCAGCTACGCAAGGAGACAAAACACATGTTAATGCACTGCTTTCTAACCACTTTTGCACATGCACTGCAGACCTGAGGTTTTCTAGATATTATCCATGCACGTGAGAACGCAAATGTCTGACACAGTTAGATCAGACATTAAACAGCTTTTAGCCTTCCTGCAAAAACAAAAACCACACAGGCTGTTATAAAATGCTCATCCTACCCATTCATATGTAAAGTGTTAAAATCAATGTGTGGCCCACCTGACACTAAGAGACAAACTTGAATACAAGAGCAGTAATAATAATAATAATAAAAATAATAATGACTGAATTTTAAAAAGTTTCAATTTGTTCAGTAGCCCATTGAACGGCAGAAATTAGGTTTTCTTTTCGGAAGTAAGTAAAAGGAAAAAACAAACATGAGTACGAACTTCTCTGTGAACGTACCCTGAATGATGATATGTGATGAGCTTGAACTTGATTGGCTAACAGAAACTAATTTAGCTAGCTTAGGAACATGTAGTGTGGCAAGATAGATGCACTTAAACGTTTTAGGTAATTTAAGCCAAATTGACACCAAATTTCAACTTTGTGAGCTGACAGTTTCGGGATTTCTGTGTTTTAGATTACAAAAATAAAAGAAAAAGATCTACAGATTCAGGTTTTTACTTACCTGTGGTTTGGTCGTCACTATGGACATCACTGGCATTGATTTAATACACCCCCCAATCTTTACCGAGTACCATACATTGCCTCACATCACAGTTCTTGTGTTTCCTTTTCAAAAATTTTGTTGTGCTCAGAGAAATCAAATATATCAAATTTGCATGGCTTTCTTCGGCCTGTCAGGTGGCGCAGAGAACCCTGGCCAGCCCCTGGCAGCCTGAACCACAGACGGGCACCGGTTTGGTTCTCACTCAGTCGCTCATGCTGTAGGTTCTCCCTGATAGGGGCATTTCTGGGTTGTCTTCCCCCCTAAGGAATCCCAATTTTTTTTCTTTTCTTTTTTTGGGTGCTGGGGCCCTGTGTTTATGAAGCTGGGATTCGTGGGACGTCTTTCTTGTCATGGCTACCAAGAAAAACATCAGCTTGGGGGAGAGCGTAGCGCTAAGCACACACTCATTCATGGATCATCACATTGCCATTAGCAGTCCACACACCAGTGAAGATGAAGAAGACAACACTACTTAGGTGTCTTTTCATTTCATTGTTCACTCTGAAAACTACACTGTTACTCTAGAACTGCTTGATGCACCAAACCAAAGTTTTCAGCCACAGCTTATGATCCAACATCTGTGTTCTCAAATGTATTTCCTCAGATTGAAGCTGGCTGGGTGAAAGAAAACAACTTGCCCTATCTCTTTCTTCTTCTTCTTTTTTTTTTATAATCCCCACATTATTGCTCGCTCATTTTCTTCTGCTTAACCAAAACAAGTGGCAGCAACCTAAGCAGGGTATTTCAGTCAAATTCTCCCCCCTTACTTTACGTAATCTTTAGCTGATACAGGAAATACAAAGCAGTTGAGTCAACTGGCATTTCCAAAAGTACCCATGCCCACTTCAAAGCTATAATTTTCGACATTGCTGCATAATCTGTCCACTATACTAGAGCTGCTATTCCTACTGTTTTATTTCATGATCGCAGATGTTAAAAGTCAAGATCATAAGTATTCTAACCAAGTTCATCATGTAGATTATTAAGTGAATTACTGGGCACATGCATACTTCATGGACATTGAACAAACCCCAGTATTTTTCATAAAGCTCCACTCCAGGAAAAATAGCAGGCAACAAGATTCACTTTTTACATACTGTCAGATTTGTTCTGGCAGTTTTCAGGATCCATAAAGATTCACCTTAGTCATCTATTTCTTTCTTTCTTTGGGATTATAGTGATATTTTCAATAGAGAAGTATGTATACAGCCATCTTAACTATTAACTGTAGATCACAACTGAAGACAGCAGCGATGATTGATGTACAAGTAATTGGATTTCAAACAGCAGTAAATATATTCCAGTGTCTTTGAAGTCCTTTATGCTCTCCTGTCTTTACATTGTCACTTCAGAGTTAAACTGAGTACACAAAGCATTCAGATATTAATCAGAATATTGTATTCAACAAAATAAAATGCTTTATATTTATACTTATAACTTATACCTACTACTTATAACAACATATGCAACATTGTACTTGATTCCATATGTTTACCTGTGCTGTACATGTTTCTGTCTTTAAAATAATGCCACTTGCTGTTTGTTTGATTTACTAGAGAAATGAAAGACAGCAAATGAATATCAAATTATTACAAAGGCTGCGTCATCAATTTGGGGTAATATATTTTATTCTTTTAACCTCCTAGGACCTGGCGTCCACATATGTGGACATCACATTTTGGGTTATTTAGACCAAAATACTTAATTTTGCTCTACAAGGGCCTGATATCCACTTACGAGGACATTATACTGCCACTGTTCTATCAAAACTTTAAACGAATATCCTGATATGTGGCTCTCATTATTCTTAGAAACAAAAATCAGGTAAAAAAAAAAAATCTGGTTGTTTTTACATTCATCGGGTCCCAATCAGCCTATATCAAAGAGAAATTAAAAATGCATGCCGTGGAAGAGTTCGGGTCTTAGGAAGTTAAGATGACCCTCGTCCAGGTCACGCTGCTTATAGGCATTTTCATAACAAGATAGAGCTGGAGTCATTTAACCTCTATAGAACCATGCTGTTGTTCAGGAAGCAAGTTTCATTTCAGCTGTCTTGTTGGGATTAGTCGGGCGTGTGAAGCATAATAACCAAGTTTTCATATTTATATTTCTGAACCAGGAGAGCAGCAACAAGTGTCTATAAGGTATAATTCTGTAATGGGAAGGCTTTAGGACCCAGGGGACCAAAAGGAGGGTATAAAAGAGGAAATAGCAGCAGGTGCTCTTCTTCACTCTCTTGCACTGACAAGCTGCTGTGAAGGTGAAGCTCCTGAGATGATTGAGTAGCCATTCACACATACTGGGGTTATGTCTTTACAGCAGAAAATTAAGGTACAGGCAGTTTTTCTTTTAGTGTTTTTTTTTTTTTTTAATTTGTTGAAAGGTATTTGATGTTTATTGTATTTTATGTTTTTAGAAGTGATTTTAGAAGACCACAAGCAAGTTGTGCAGCAAACATAGTAGTTAGCTGGAGGTATGTTCATTTAATGTATTTGACATTAAAACAGGATATTAATGCACTGCAATGTAATTTATATTGTATTGCCTCCTGCAGGACAGGCTGCACATGTGAATTGGTCACAGTTTTTTCCTCTTTCTCCTTTTCGTTGCATTTTTCTCCCAGGTTGGTTTTAGAGTAGGGTCACCTTTTAAAACTGTTTTTTTTTTTATTCTGGGTTTGTTTTTCTTTACTGGGCTGGTGCAATATTAGTCGGGCTAAGTGCAGTCCCTGACCTGGTCTCACAGAGGTGCTCTGTGTGGATTTGCTGTGATTACGTTTTGTTAAGAGTGATTGTAGTGCTACCAATTATTACCTGTAGCAATAATTGAAGCGAGTCCTTTGTCTCCCAGGAAAGTGCCCACTCTTCACCACCGAAAACGGAATGGGGAAAAAATTAAGTTCCCCTCAAAGACAAAGCATAACAAAACGTGTCTTAATTTCTCCCACAGTCAAAGCACATGCCTGTTTGCTTGATGACTCGTTTGGAAAACTCCAAAACACAAACTTAACAATGTGGTGTATGCTGTACAGTGCAGCGAGGAATGCCCAGAACTCTACATTGGAGAGACCAAAAAGCCACTTCACAAGCGCATGGCACAACATAGAAAAGCCACCTCCACGGGACAAGACTCAGCGGTCCATCTGCATCTAAAGGACAAAGGTCACTCTTTCGAGGATGCCAGTGTTCACATTTTGGACAGAGAGGACAGATGGTTTGAAAGAGGAGTGAAAGAAGCCATTTATGTCCACTGTGAGTGACCATCTTTGAACAGAGGCGGGGGTTTACGATACAAACTGTCTGTCATCTATAATCCAGTTTTGAGATCCCTTCCCAGACGCTTTAACACCCACTCACACCCTGGGCCATCTGACCTCAGGAAATCACATGATAGGGTGGGGCCAGGTGTCCCAATGTGCTCACCCAAATCCCTGGCTGATTGTGACCCACACCCGCTTTCACACCTTGGCTCATGTGATTAGGTAGAGGATCATCAGGGGGTCCTTTGTCCCTCCTTTGGGGGGATACTCCCCCCACTGTTCCCCGTGTATACCGCTTGAAGTATGCACACATTAAACACACACAGCGAGCGAGCAAGAGAGAGCCCGAGCGTGCACTTTAAATATAGGAATTTTGTATTGCTTCTACTAGCCCGTCATGTAGCGCAAGGTAATAACAGGCGGGCTCTTAGCGGAGTCGAAACAGAGATTTCATAGGTTTGATCCCTTGGTGTGCCTATATCTGTAACTTCTCTGCTAAGGGGAACCTGGGTGCGCTAAACTTCCGGGAACCCGACCATTTAACCAGTAAAGTAAATATTGCAAAAAAGATAATTAGATTACTGTTACTTTCCTGTAAGCATGCTGCGTTACTGTGTTGCTAAACCGTGATTTTGTTTGCGAGAGTGTCTCATGACAATGACGTAAACGAGTGCCACGTTCGTGGCAACAGCTGTGTGCAGATCAACAACGGATAATATATCGAGTGCGGGAGAGAGTATGACAGCGTTTAAAGTGTGGAAGTACTGACCTTAGTTTTTAACTAAGTAACTAATTACTTTTAAAAATAATTAATCAGTAAAGTAACGCAATTACTTTTTGGGGGAAGTAATCAGTAATTAGTTACTGATCAAGTAACCTGTCCAACACTGGTCATGTTAGCACATTACCTTCAACAGGTGGTGAGGCTGAATAAAGAGGCACACACTCGTTTCACTGCAGGGTCCCTTCATTCGTCACATAATCCATGTCGGGCAAAGTGTAAATCCCGAGGCTAAAATCACTTTTTTAAATTGCAATTTAA